CTTCTAACTGCTATTCAATAATAACGTGGCTGAACTGATTGCGGCCACAGCTCCACTACCCCATTAAAACCATGCTGGACTATGATGCAACATTTGGTGGATGAAATTTTTGTTTTTGCTGCTGCATGTACAGGAGTCACCTAATGTCTGAATCTGTCGTAAAGCTCAGATGAATGTGGTGATATTTTTGCTTGGAACTGTGAAATCTCGGGCTGCTGCCATCATGGTTACAGATCTTTGTGGTCAAAAGGAAAGCACTTACAAATGTCCGTCAGTCTAGTCTCCAAAATGAGCCAGATTACCAAGGCATCATCTGAGGGGAATGCCAGTGGCATTTTGGAGCCTAAACCTCTTGTCCACTCCCAGAATGGCATAATTCATGCTCCAACCAGTAGTATTCTACCAGGCCCCCACTGTTGTTTCATCCTAGATGTCCTCTTCCTGCTTCAGCCATATTGTAGAAAGGGGAACGTCTTTGCAAAGGGACAGTATCTTTTCTACCTACCTATCCTGTTGCAAACTCAGAGACATCGAAACTACTTGTTGCAGCCTGTGTGCGAAAAGGTCACTAAATCTGCTGACGTTTCAGCAACACTCTCTGGAAATCCCAACAACTCACTACATAAACACAGTAACTACAAGAGCAGGTGAGGCTAGGAATACTACAGCGAGTATCTCACTTCCTGACTACCCAAAGCCTGTCCACCATCTACAAGGCACTAGTCAGGATTGTGATGGAATACTCCCCACTTGCCTGGATGAGTGCAGCTCCAACAACACTTGAGAAGGTTGACACCATCCAGGTCAAAACAGGCCACTTGATTGGCACTACATCCACAAGCATCCACTCCCTCCACCACCAAAGCTCAGTAGCAGCAGGGTGTATTATCTACAAGACGCACTGCAGAAATTCATCAAAAGTCCTCAGGCAGCACCTTCGAAATGCACAACCACTTCCATCTGGAAGGACAAGGGCAACAGATAGATGGGAATATCACCATCTTCAAGTTCTCCTCCAAGCCACTCACCATCCTGACATGGAGATATACTGCCATTCCTTCACTGTCACTGAGTCAAAATGCTGGAATTCCCTCCCTAATAGCATTGTAAGTCAACCCACAGCAGGTGGACTTAGCAGTTCAAGAAGGCAGCTCACTACCACCTTCTCAAGGCAACTAGGGACAGGCAATAAATGCTGGCCAGCCAGCAACAGCCACATCCCATAAATGAAGAAAAGAACAGCTACTCGACATTACAGTCAGCCATTTGGGATCCTGCTAGTGCACAAGTGACACAAGCATGCTCGTATCGTTCTCAACATGAGGCCTTGCACCAAAAGCATTATTCACACCATTCTGTGGACCTCCAATTTCCATAATGCCAACTCCAATGGCAAAAAAGAGCAACAGTCTTAAAATAAACCCCCGGGAATTACTGTACGTTTCCCTTCAGTCTGAAAACAACTATTCTCTCTTACTCTCCTTTTGTTTTCCCTTAGACAATTTTGTAACCATGCTGTCACTCCCCTTTAATACCATAGGCTTAAATTTTGCTAATTAGTCAATTCTGTGACACTTTATCAGATGCCTTTGAAAGGCTAGGTTTGCAAAATCAACCACGTTATTGTACACTGACACTTGCCATTTTTATGGAAGATTTTGATGAAAAGTGGGAGGCATGGTTAGTAAGTTTGCAGTTAACACAAAAATTGGTGGTATAGTCGACAGTGAAGAAGGTTATCTATGCTTACAAAGGGATCTTGATTAATTGGGCCAATGGGGTTTAATTTGGATAAATGTGAGGTGTTGCATTTTGGTAAAATGAACAAAGGCACGACCTATAATGGTTAATGGTCAGGCTCTGGGTAGTACTGTTGAACAGAGAAACTTAGGGGTTCAGGTACACGGTTCTTTGACAGGGTGGTTAAGAAGGCATTTAGTATACTTACCTTCATTGCTCAAAGCATGGAGTATAGTGGTCGGGACGTTATATTGGGATTGTACAGGACATTGGTGAGGTCTCTTCTGGATTACTGTGTACAGTTCTGATCGCCCTGCTATAGGAAGGATATTATTAAATTGAAGAGACTTTAGAAAACGTTTACCAGGATGTGGCCAGTACTGGAGGTTTTGAATTATAAGGAGGGGCTGGGTAGGATGGGACTTTTTTCACTGGGGTGTAGGACATGGAGGGGTGATGTCATAGAGGTTTATAAAATCATGAGGGGTATAGATAAGGTGAATAGCACAGTTACAACACTTAAAAAACATCAGGACAGATACATGAATAAGAAAGGTTTACAGGGATATAGTCCAAGCTGGGCAAGTGGGATAAGTTTAGTTTGGGAAACTTGGTTGGCATGGACAAGTTGGACTGAAGGGTCTGCTTCCATGGTATATAACTCTACCAATCTTCTCTATTTTATTAAAGAATTCTATTTAAGTTAGTCAAACACGATTGGCTTTATGTATCTCTCTGCTGGTTGTCATCGATTATGTTGCGTTTTTCCAAGTTACAATTTTTTATGTATCAGTATTGGGTTGATTGACCTACAGTTACCTAGTTTATCCCTTATTTTGAACAATGGTGTAACATTTTCAGTCTTCCAGGTGCCACTCACATCTCTAGGGAGGATTAGAAGATTGTAGCCAGAGCCTCTGCTATTTCCACTGTTACCTTACTCAGCAATCTAGGTTCGATCCCATCTGGACCAGGTGGGTCTTCTTTTTAAGCACTGCTTTCATATTTTTATCCTATCCAACTGGTTTACCTCCTGCTTTATTTCTGTAGACTGACGGATAATACTCATTTATAAACCAAGCTTGCTAACTTATAAACACAGCCAGGCTCTCAACCTCCACAAGATTGATACTGAAGCAAGTAAAAGTAAAATACAGTAAATGCTAAAGATCTTAAATGAGAACAGAACATGCTAGAAAAACTCAACAGGTTTTGAAGCATCTGTAGTGAGAGAAACAGAGTAAATGGCATAGGTCCAATGATCTTTTCCCAGAACTGGAAGAAGGAAGGCTAGTTTCATATTTAATTGCATTAGAACTTAATAGATGTTGGCGTACAGGCACAGTGTCTCAAATCCAGCTATCTGAAAACCTAAGAGATCCAAAAGCCAGACAGTCTTATAAGCTGCCATGTGTTCATTTTAAATTTTATTAGATGATTTAATTTCATTTATTATTGTCACATGAACCTAGGTACAGTGAAAAGTTTTGTTTTGCATGCAGTAAAGGCAGATCATACCATATGAAGTGCATTAAGGTAACAGAACAGTTACGGCTGCAGAGTAAGCGCACAAAGAACGAAATCAACATTTAAATATAAATTTGACAGGTCCATTCAGAAGTCTGATAACAGTGAGAAAGAAGCTATTCTTGAATCTGTTGGTCCGTGCGCTTAAGTTTTTGTATCTTCTGCCCAACAGAAGAGGCTGGAAGAGATTATAATTGGGTTGGAGGAGTCTTTGATTATGTTGGCTGCCTTCCCAAGGCAGGGAGAAGTATAGATACAGTCAATCGATGGAAAGTTGGCTTGTGAGATGGACTGGGCTGTGTTCGCAACTCTGTAGTTTTTTTTTTAAACTGTCCTGGGCAGAGCAGTTGCCATACAAAGCCTTGATGCATCTGAGTAGAATGCTTTCTATGGTGCCCCTACAAAAATTGGTAAGAGCTTCTAAGAACATGCCAGATTTCCTTTGCCTCCTGAGGACGTAGAGGTATTGTTGTGCTTGCTTGACTGTGGCATCAACCTGGGTGGACCAGGACAGATTGTTGGTGATCACTACTCCTAGGAGTTTGATGCTCTCAATCATCTCCACCTCAGCATCATTGATGTAGACAAGGAGTGCCCTCCACTTTGCTTCCTGAAGTCAATCACCAGCTCTTTTGGTTTGCTGATGTTGAGCAAGAGATTGTTAACTTTACAACATGTCACCATGCATTCTATCTCTTTCCTGTGTTCTGTCTCATCATTGTTTGAGATCTGTTCTACAATGGTGGTGTTGTCAGCAAACTTGTAGATGGAGTTAGGATGAAATTTGGCCACAGAGTCATGAGTGTGTAGTGAGTATAGTAAGGGGCTGAGTACACAGCCTTGCAGGACACCAGTGTTGAAGATTATCATGGAGGAAGCGTTGTTGCCAATTCTCACTGACTGCATTATGTAGGTCAGGAAGTCGAGGTTCCAGTTGCAAAGGGTGGTGTCCTAACTCTCGAAGTTTGGAGATTAGTTTGGTTGGAATTATGGTGTTGAAGGCAGAGCAGTAGTCAATGAGTAGGAGCCTGACATATGCATCCTTGTTATCCATATGTTCCAGGGATGGGTGCAGGGCCAGGGAGATGGTGTCTTCCATGGACTTGTTGCAGCAGTAAGCGAATTTCAAGAGATCAAGGCAGACTGGGAGGCTAGAGTTGATGTGAACTATGACTAACCTCTCAAAGCACTTCATAATTATGGACGTCAGTAAATTAGCAAAATAATTTACCAGCTTGTTCCACTAGGTGGTTCATTGGAGCTGCTTAGCAGTTGGTTTTATGCACCAGTCTTTTCTCATGCTGCAAGTAGTTTGAGTGACCCCTGACCCCATCTGATATGATCCAACCAAAATCCAACAAAGGTTCAATCCTGGAGTTCCTGGTTTTGAGACACTGTACGTAAGCACATCTTTAAGGATGTCTGAGGAATTCAAGTCTTCATTATGGATGAACTAATGACATAATAGCGCAAATGTAATAAGAAACAAGTGCCCGCGATAAAAGATTTGAAAAATGAAACTCATTTATTTTGGCAGTTTTGAAAACTAAATATGAATCTTGATATAGATTGCAAAGAAAAATTTCTAAATGCACCCAACTTTCAAAATAGCATATCAACAAGACTTTTGTAGGTTATGTCTGCAAGCTTTAAAGGGACTCGAGACAATGGAAAGAAAGCAGCTCAAGGTTAACAATGTACAGACTTTGCACACATGATAAAGATAATTTTACCATTCAATTTGAAAACAGTCAAGAGTTTTCATCATTCCCATCTTGATAAGAAAATTTCTTAGAAAATCATCAACCACTTCTCCTCCTTGGCACACAGGCTGCACTGGAACCAAATCGTTCTCCTCAGCCTAAAATTTGAAAAAAAATGTATTAGACAATTAAGCATTTATGCAAAGAAGAACTTATTTTTGTTCTCAAAGATCATAATCTAAATTCTGAACTTTTTAAACATAATCATGGCATTAGGTTAAACATGGGTGATGAAACTGTCTACTAAGTACAATCAACTTTCCCTCAACTGGCAAATCAGTACTCTTCCATCTTCAATACCATCTGGAAGACTCATGGAGGGCAGCAAAGGCATGGAATGCAATTTGGATGAGACATTTCATCAAAGTTGTTCAGGTAGTGTCACTACTTATCGAGCTGGCCAGGATACTGCTGTTAGACTGGGCTTATGGCACTTAAGGAGAGAAACTACACAAATCTGTTTGATCTCCTTCTCACGAGACACATTTGATTATGGCAGTATTGGGAGGAGTGACAATCACACTGTCCTGCAGAAACAAAGTCTTAGCGTCATATATTTGACATGCTTTACTAAGTTGTACTGTCATAGAGCATAAGGGGTAGATTTTGAACAGCTCAAAACAGGCCATCGACAAGCAAGAGTAAAATTGTATCTCATAGAATCCCTACAAAGTGGAAACAGGCCATTCGGCCCAACAAGTCCATACTGCCCCTCCGAACAGCGTCCCACCCAGACCCACTCCCCGTGTCTAACCCACCTAACCTAAACATCCCTGGGCACTATGGGCAATTTAGCATGGCCAATCCACCTAACCTGCACATCTTTGGACTGTGGGAGGAAACCGGAGCACCTGGAGAAAACCCACACAGACACGGGGAGAATGTGCAAACTCCACACAGATAGTCACCCGAGGCTGGAATTGAACCTGGGTCCCTGTTGCTGTGAGGAAACAGTGCTAACCACTGAGCCACCGTGCCGCCCCTAAAACAGTATTTTTTAAAATTCATCCACAGGATGAGGGCATTACTGGCTAGTCCAGCATGTATTGCCCATCTGTAATTGCCCAGACAGCAGTTAAGAGTCACATATAGGTCAGGCCACGTAAAGAAGACAGTTTCCTTTCCTAAAGGATATTAATGAACCAGAGGGGTTTTTCCCTTACAATGGTTTCATGGTCATCATTAGAGTCTTATTTCTGGATTATTAATGAATTGAAATTCTATAGCCTGCCATGGTGGGATTCGAACCCATGTCCCCAGAACATTACCCAGGTCTCTGGATTAATAGGCTAATGGCAATATCACTAGGCCATCACCTACCCTGTGTATTCTATGACAACCTGGAACATCCTGGCTGGTATATGATTTATTGTACCATTACCAGGGAGCAAACCTGTTTCATCAGGAATGTGAAAGAACATACCAGAATCCACATCAGGTGTACCTAACAATATGAGGTGCCAAGTTGGTGAAACTATAGAAAAGGACATCTGTACTTTAAACATCTGAAGCACCCTGGCTTAAATGATCACACAACCAACAGATTCGGTCAGAATTCGGATTCTTCACAGTCCTGTCAGATTTAATAATGAATGATGTTGGGCACTTAAACAATTCACAGGAGAAGCTACATAATGTTGAGCCCAGAAAAATCACGTAGAAAAGACTAGGTTGTACCATTTGACGATATCTTCAGCTGGAAGCACAAGTAAATAAATCATTTCAGGGTCATGCTTCACAAGTAATGGAGAAAAGCAAGGAGCAATCTTAAGGAGAACTTCTAATTTTGAAGACAGCTGACATTAATTGCACTAGAAAGTATCCGGTCAGAATAAAATAGAACTGAAGGAGAAGGTGTAATGGAACAAAAAGATAATCTTCACGGAAGAAGTTTTCACGTACAGGCTGGATACATTACAAAACTGAAAGATACAGCAACAAATATCAGGTTCCTTGGTTAACAAAGGAGGTGCAGAATATGATGAAACAAAAAGAAAGGATATATAATGCATGTCAGGTGAACTTGTCAAGCAATAACTGGGTCAAATACATTAAGAGAAGAAAACAAAAAGAACAAAAATAAGACTGGCAAAAGCAGAATGAAAACAGAATAGTAGTTAACAGAAAAAGGGATGCAAAAATCTTCCATCTGCACCCTTTAATGCCAGTAAGTTATTTGGTCCTGAAATCTTGTTGCACATCAGAAGATTAATTTTAACTTTGTTTACTGTAGTACTTGGCCAAATCAATACCATTCTGGTACAACCTTTCCCACTCTGACGTGTGGTCTCTCCCCTTGCCACATTGCCACTGAAGATCTGCACTAGGGAGCCTCCACTCACCAAGCTCCAGATCACCAAATCCCAGCCATGACACCATTCAACAACGCTTAAGTCTATGTGGCACTCCCGCTACTCCCCAGAACTAGTCAGGAGATAGCAAGCCATCCCCTGGCCGGTCACAAAGCTTCACTCCCTCCAGATACTAAGATGTCACCCACAACCAAGCACTGACAACAGCAGCAAATCTCTCCCAACCAGCACCCCACAACGCAGTGGCCAAAACCAAAGGGACCCTGCAAGTTACAGCCTGCATAACAATTTAGGGGAGCTGAAATCTATCCAGACAAGAGCAACATCTATGCCCATCTCATCAACTAGGAGGGGAAGGAAGGCCACAGCTTTCATCCAGCCAAGAGGAGCAGACCCATTCAGCAGACTGCTATGACCTTGGAGGCAGAGGCAAACAGCAAGAAAGGCTGGTCCTACCCAAAAATATGGCACCAGGCAGCAGCCACAACTTGGCCAGGAACAAGTGATAGCTCCAGCAGGCGGCCTGTAGCCCAATGAACAAAACTGCCTGAGTGCAGCACTCCAGGCAGCAGCAGCCTGGGTTCCACTAGAGGAACTACTGTAATTAAAGAGTTAAATTTAAAAGAAAACTGTAACAGTTATTTAGTTTACCAATGTGGAATTTAGCCATTTAAAACACTATTTCAACTTACAGGACATAGCTATAATGTTTCAACGTTGAATTTAGTTTCTGTAAAGGAAAGTCCTATACTAACTTTTTTTATTGCACAATGGGCATCAATGCTTAAGTTGTTTCATTTACACTGATCTATGCTGAGGGATGTAGGACAAGGCAAGAATATTTAACAAGTACTTTGCATCGGTGTTAAGAAGAAGAGAATGCTGACAGAATATTAGTACAAGTAAAGGCACTGATGATGATAATGAATGTGATGACAACTGATGGACAACACAATTACATACTGAGATAACAAGGTGTAGAGCTGGATGAACACAACAGGCCAAGCAGCATCAGAGCAG